CCACCTGGCCCTCAAGTGCTGTTCCAACGCTCGTTGGGATGTCGGCAATTGGGTTTTGATCTTCCCTGGTTTCCAATGCCGCCACTTGTTGGCCACTGCCAGGACATCCGGGGCCTCAATCGATCCGGAGAGGATCCACTCCTCGCGGTCCCGGATGGCCTGCTCCATTTCCAGTGGAGAATAGGTGTGCGATTGTCTGGCGCCTGCCGCACGAAACAGAAGTTGTTGCAGGGTCTTAGTAGCGAGCTCCAAATCCGCCTCCTCCAGCGGTTGTGGTTGGGAGCCGAGTATCCTTGCGAGGATCAAGTTGTAGGTGTCCGAGGCCACCAGGACATGGTTGCCGTCAGGTGCCAGCCCCACGATTCGTGTCCACGGTCGCGGGTCAAAGACCACCGCATCCGGGTTGGCAACCTGGTCCTTTTTGACCCATTCCAGGCAGCACGCCACGAGGATTTCCCCGTCCGACTGCACTGGTGCAAATCCAAGGTCATGCAAAATCAACTGGAACGCGGTTGGTACCCCAAGGAAGGTCGTTCCAAACGGGGGGGAGGCGGGGCCTCCACATCATCGTGATCCACTCGAGCCAGGAGCCTAATTCCTAGGCGCAAACCCCAACCAAACAACAGGGGAGCCCCCAAAACCCCGGAAAGCCCATCCCGAAACGGGGGAAAAGGGGGGGGGGGGACCCAGGGAGCCGCCCCGGAAAGGGAAGAACCAAACAAGGGAGGGGAGCCAAGGCGCACCCCGGACCAGCCCAAGCGCGCCAATTTTTCTCGCCTGGTACAGGTCTAGGCCTGTGCTGTGCCCAGGGGGGGATATCAGCGCCCTCGGCAGCTGTCCCCCCCGGGGTGCGCTGCGAATCCGTTCCGGATGGCCGCAGTGCTGTATGATCATACGGCCCCCTTTGCAATGTCGTCAATGCGCTTGAGCGCCGCCGCCTCCGGATTCCGGAGAATCAGCTCCCAGATGGCTGAACCTAAACCGGGGGACTTTCTGGTCCACCACGGAGACATCCCGCAGCGGGGCAGAGGGCTCTACCCGGCGGTAGAACTCCAACCGCTCCTTGACCCAGCGGTTGTACAGGCCATCCGGCGGCTCGTCCAGCACCAGCTGAAGGATGGCCTTGCCGGCCCGGATCTGGAGGAGGCGGGTGCCCCCTCCCCCGGCAGGCACATGTAGCCCCCCCGGGTCTCCCCTTTTGTCTTCGGGATGAGTTCCCACGGGGTGACGGAGCTCAGGACCAGGCCACACTCCATGTGCGCCCAGAAGACATGCTTCGTCTCCGCCGGATAGTTCTTCTTCCGGTAGTCCTTGCCCACCACGCCGTGGGGTGCGATGTGATGGGGGGGTAAACAATCCCCTCATCGCCCTCTCCTCCCCTGGGGCGGATGTCAGGGCCATGGCACCTGTCCGGCACCCAGGGGCGGAGGGGTCAAGGCCCATCAGCTTGATCATGTCGTTGGTGTAGCCGAGCTTGCGGTAGATGGAGGGGGCTACTGAGTCGGGGACTGCGCCGACCCACCACTGCTTCGTGTTGCAGCGCCAGTTGACCTTCACCTCCGCCAGGGCCCCCGGGCCTCCAATGCGGTCCATGAGGGCCTTGTACACCTCTGGGAACTGCTGGAGACTCTCCACCGGGACAGATATGCGCTCATCACATACCGCCCGGAGGATCATCTGTTCCTTGGAGTCCGCCACGTCCTGGACCGGGAGCTGCATCACCTCCGCCGGGGTGTCCGTGAGGAAGGCCCGGGCCGCGAGGACCTTGCCCATGGCCCGGTAGACCAATCGCCACTCCGGTCCTGTCTGCGGAAACGGAAGGCCCTCCTCCTTCAGGAAGCACCGCGCGTCTTCCTTCAGGGTCTCCCAGCCCTCCAGGCGGATCTGATTCTGGGCCTTGTTCTTCGGGCCCCGCTGCCTAGGGCCCTGAAGCAGTGGCAGGGACTCCCAGACTCCCCAGAGCTGGCGCAGGGTGAAGCTGTGACCAAACATCCCCAGTAAGCCTGGAAGTGTCCAGGACGAGATCTGGCGCGCCCAGTGGAAGTCCTCATCCGGATCGTGGGGGGCCGCCCAGAAGATGGAACGCAGGTCCTCGGGGTAGGGTCGGTCCCCCGCCTTAGCCTGCTGGTTCAACTCATCAACGGAGTACCTGGCCCATGGGAGTCCACCCACCTGGTGGTTCCTGGGATGCGTACCCCTCTCCAGCGCCTCCGGATTCACCTTGGTGAGGTTGTTGGCCCAGTCCGGGACGTGTACGGGGCCCGGTCGTCGGACCCAGCGGCCCGCAAAGATACGGACCTCTCCGACCCGTTTGCTCATCATCCAGCGCAGGACCGCGAGCTGCACCTCCGGGTCCTGGGTATCCAGGCCCCCTGGGGTGGCAGACGGCTTGTCAGGGCCCTCGGCACCTGAGCTCGTCGCGCCAGAGCCCGAGGCTGGGGGGATGGTGGGCTGCCTGTCAGGGCCCTCGGCACCTGGGCGCGCCGCACCAGAGCCCCCCGCCTTTGAAATGGGGATCCCCGCCAGATCCGGCAGATCTGCCAGGAGGGCCGCCGGAAAGGGGTTCCTACCCAGCCAGCGAGATGACCGCCTTGGCTTCGAGGTAAGAGTCCGTGAGGGACGTGAGGTCGTCCATGCTGAAATCCCTCCATGCCGTGGTCGGCTCAAAGACCCCCGTCTCAATGGCAACTCGGACCTCGTTAGGCCACGCACTGAATGGAGGCTTGATGGGCTCGAGCATTCTGGTCTCGTGGGCGCCCTTCGCTTGTCTGGCCTGGTGCTTTGCCTTCGCCTCCTCCGCAGTGGTCTGGGCCTGGAGGAGCTCCGGTCCTCCATCAATGGCCCCTCCTTGAAGCTCGTGGAGGACCGCCGCGGATCGCTCCACCGCTGCCACCTGGTCTGCCTTCTTGGCCTCCTCCTGGGCAATGGTGGTGGCGTTGAGCCGGGTCTGGATTTTGAAAGCCTTCACCGACGAATTAGGCCCTGCATTCCTGGCCCTCTTCCTTGTCGCCCGGCAATGGAGGCCTCTCCCCCATTGGGGCCGTCAGGAAATCCTCGTCCAGCTCCATGGGGCAGTTCCTGATCACCGCCCGGACCGAGGAGGGGACAAAGTCCGAGAAGCTGGCCTGGTCCGGGTTCTCGCATGCCATCGGGTCGGTGGCCAGCTCGCTGACATCCACCGAGGCGCTGAGCTTGAGGTCGCGGGCCCGGTCCGTATCAGGGCCATCGGCACCTGCGGACCGGGCCGCCGTCCAGACCGCATTGCCCTGGTCATCCACCGTCAACTGCCAGTGCGTGCCCGCCATCTCCAGGGTGGCCGAGTTGGTCGCCATGTCAATGGGCTCCGTCTTCTTGCCGCACCCCATACACTTCCTGGCGCCCTTCTTCACCCAGGGCATGGTGCAGCAGGGGCAGATCCAGGATGTGGGCTCCTTACCCAGGGGGCGGTTCTCCAGGCCCCCATACCCCAGGCCAGCGCGCTTGCCGACCTGCTGTCCCGGGGTGCTGAGCCGGGCCTCATGCTCATACTTCATCTTGGCGATGTAGAACGCCTCCACCACACGCTCCAGGCCCCCCTGCTTGAGTTGGGGGCCCTCAAAGCCTCTCAGGAGCCGCTGGACGTCTTTGGCCTGCAGTCGGCGGAGCCTAGTGGCCGTGGTCGCATCAAAACACGGGAAGTCGCCCGCCATCTGGTCATCGCTGAATTGGTAAAGGCCCTCAGAGACTTTGAGGGCCTTGGTGAAGACGCTTCCCCCCGGCGGGGGGGCTGCGGGGTCCTCATCCTCCTCCGAGGACGCCTGCTCCCTGACCTTCGCCATCAGATCACGGCGTCTCTGCCACTTGGTGTCGGACATCGGGAGCTCCTCCTCGTCTTCCGCCAGGAGTTCCTCCATGGGAACATCCTTCTCCGGCGGGTTTAGGAGCTCCAGGAACGCCCCTGGGGGGCGTGTCAGGGCCTTCGGCACCTGCGCCACCCCAGGGGCTGAGTCTGCCATCAGCTCGTCCTCTGCCTTGCGCTTGGCTGGGATGAGTGGGGCCTGCTCCAGCTCATCGGCGCTGGAGAAGAACCGCTCGTCAGGTGCCTGAGGGACCTCAGCAGCCAAGACGGTCCATCCTTCTTCCTCCTTCTTCACGAGGCTTGCCAGGTACTTCGCCATGGAGGCCTTTGCCTTCGCCTTGGCCTCTGCAACCGCGGCACCAGCGTAGGCGGGGGCGTACATGGCTTTGATAGGAGGGGAAAGAAAGATTTCAGATTACAAGACAGAAGGTCAGAGTCCACTTGAGCCAAAATGGTGGCCCAAGTGGACACTTATGAAGAGTCAAGACAAGCGACCACCTGCGGTTAACGCTTTAGCCCAGTTAGCGGGCCAGTTCTGTTGATGGATTCTAGGAGTTCTGAAAGTTGGAAACTGGGCCATGAACCTTCACTCAGTGAACGTATATGGCGAGTCAGATTTCGCCCAAACGGATTCTGTGACATTCTGTGGGTGCATCGTGGTAGCCAATGAAGTCCTCATCATGGGGGGGTTGCCCAAATCCCGTTATGTTGTCCAATACCTGGAATGTCACACGCAGCTTCTTTGCGGTCCTCTTTGGATAGAGCGGCGCCGAACGACCGGAACACAAACGCACAAACACGCAAACCAAGAACAGTGGAGCAACATGCTTGCCAACCTTTGCTGGTTGTCAATCTATGTGTGTTGTTGAAATTTAGTGCCCCCTGGGAATTCGTTTCAGTGCCCTTTCCTTCCGGTTCTTGCTCTAGCTTTCTCAGAATAAGGTATTGGATTAGGCCCCAATCGACCCAGGAAACCCGAGACCCCAAACCATGCCCCCAAACGACGAAAGCTTACAGGTAGCCTCGGTAACCGAACCCTTTTCAAATCACGGATACAGGGAACAAATTGCATGAAAGGGGGGGGACACAAGTTTTCCGCCAGGGTTGGGATAATCACTCATCCTTGTTCCTTGCCCGGCCAGTTACCAACTCAGGAGCGCGCTTCAGCGCGTCCAAGAGCTCAAGAAAGCTGCCGCCTGACCGAATCGAGTCGCACCGCATCTGAGGAACCGAAAATTCCGCAGACCCCAGAACACGGCTTCTTTTTGAGGGCTGTCTTTTCAAGCCCGCATTTGAAGGTATCCTTTTAACCTCCTTTAGTTTTCGTTGGTTCTCCATTCAAACCCGCTGGCCCTATTTCTACCTTTTGAAGTCCAATTTAAGTGTAGCGAACTTGGTGCCATGAGCGCTTCCGCTTACTTGAGCTGGGCCCAGAAAATATTTGCAGTGGATATGGCAAGCAAATGCAGACACTTTTCACCAACCAACGCCCCAACGTTGAGAGAACAAACGAGGCAAAACCGTGAAGTGCAGCAGAGTTCGAATCCTTCTGGCTGGGGCGGGTTCCCAACCTGAATAGTCCAAACTGCAGAGCAAAGGGTCCCTATGTTTTGGAAACAATGGTTTAGCCACGCTTCACCACATTTGGTTCCAGTGAATATTCCGACGCGCCACGTTTTGGATGCCTGCAGTTGGTTGCTGGTTGTCAGGGAGAGTCCATTTCGGGTTTTGTGGAATGAACCTAGTCCCAAACAGAAACCACAAGGCATAGTTCAGTTTGAGGTTCCGACTCCGACTCATTTCTTGGAAACCTTATTGGAATTCAGGAGTCGCCCGAAAAGGAACCTTCTTCGTTGTGAGCCTGCTAGAATTTGCCGACGCTTGGGTCCGAAGTTGGGTAATTTCCATAATTGTCACCTGGAAGCTCCGTTGAGGTTTTCTTGGGGGTGATGTTTGCATAGGACAGAAAAGGAATACTGAAGCGAACTCTTGGGGGAGTGGGGGAGGGAAATCCCCCTACAAGACAGGTAGGGCGGGATGAAAACTAAGGGAAATGCGGGTCTCGTTTCTCTTGACACGATGCATCCGAACATGGATGTGGAAACCAAGCTTTGTTAAGTTCTGCAGGGGGCGAGCAAGTATTTGAAATCCAAACTTCGCCAGAACTATCCGCACTAAGTTTGGCCAAAATTGCAAAGCTGAACGTAGGATTCTGAAGTAAAGGACTTTCATCACGGATAAGACTGCTTTAACCATAGGTGAGTTTGTAAATTTGTGCAGAACCTTGTCTTCGAATAGGATAGAGCCAATGTGGATTTCGATTTCCTTGCTTCCATTCAACAAAAGCCCCGCTAGCTGGTTCAAAACATCAACTCAGAACCCACCCTCGGAAGGAACTTTCCTGGAGGGTATCACTGAACATGGCCACCTAAAACCAGGTTAGCCTTTGCTTCCACACCAGGATATGATATCCAACTAATCTGTGAAGGCCCCGTTTGGCCCGCTTCAATTTGCAAAGTGCTCCTCGAGTTGATTATCTATGGGTGCTGCAAAATGTCCAACCCTGGTGTTCAGAGCAGGGAATGAGGAAATGACCCCTGATCATCCTTATCCCATGATATGAGGGTACTGATACATGTCTGGAATGCAAATTTGGTGTCAACAAAAATGTGTGTTAACCTGCTTACAACCAAACAATGAAATGCCTATGTGGGGGTTGATCTTTACTCTGTTGCCACTGCTAGTACCAACAGGATCTCTTTCGCTCGCCCTTACGCCTGCTTTCGCGGCTGAGCGAGTGGAGCTTTTCTGCGTGTCTGCGTGCGCTACTGCTCCTCTGTGCCTTCGGCCTATTTGATTGCCTGCTGGGGCAGCTTTTAAGGCATGCCCTC